GCTGAGAGTCCCAGGAGGTGGTTTGGTCTTTGCAACGGGCCAAGTGTTTTTCATGATCAAATATTCCCATGCTTTCCATAGGAAAAAAAAAAAAAAAAAAAAAAAAAAAAAAAAAAAAAAAAAAAAAAAAAAAAAAAAAAAAAAAAAAAAAAAAAAAAAAAAAAAAAAAAAAAAAAAAAAAAAAAAAAGAAGCTTTGCCAGGAGGTGCTTTGCTGGTCCAAACACACCTCAGCCACTCAAAGCTTTTTACTTTTGCTTGATTTCCTTGCTTGCTGCCCTGTTTTGGGATTTAAAACCCTATTTGCTTGGCCCCAGCTTAAAAATCTGGGTGCCTATTTACAAATCCTTTTTCCAAAGTTTCTGGAAGTCTCCCACCCAACACCCAGCCCAGGTCCAACAGGGGAGCTCCCAAAAACCTCTGGATGAAAAATCTCTCCAGATCACCAGATGACACCCAGATATTCAGCTCTTCTGCTCCCAGACTCCTGTCCTGGGAGTCTGAAGGTCTGAACCTTGAAGTTCTGTGAACCTTGCAGGGCTCTGTGAACCTTAAAAGTCTGTGACCACCTTCCCCAGGTCAGGGTGGCTGCTGCCAGGAACTGGCAGGTTTGTGGGTCCCCATCAAACACTTCCCCAGCTCTCCTTCACCCTACACGACCTCCCCCAGCAGGAGGACCAGGTTCTCCCTTAGAAAGCCAAGTCTTCCCAGTTGATTCTTTAAATTCCTGTTGATGTTGCTCCTGATTAGAAATGACTTCCCAGTGTTTGGACTCGTGGAGAGGATCAGGCTCCAACGAGGTCCTTGGGTGGCACAGCAGGAGCCTGGTCCCCAGGGCCACCCCCTCCACCATCATAGAAACAGAGAAACAGAACCTTCTGAGTTGGAAGGGACCCTCAAGGACCATCAAATCCAATTCCTGGCCCTGCACAGGACAACCCCAATGTCCTGCCTGGAATCTCCTCATGGTTTTCTTCATGGCTGCCCTTAAATTATGGCTTTGGACCTGATGGGTGAGCAATGTTCCTTTTGCTGGAATGCTTTTCTCCCTGGCTTCCAAATTATTTCAGTCATGTGCCTGCTGTCATTTGATTTCATGTCATGTGCCTGCTGTTCCCCCCTCTGCCTTCTCCAGGAGCAGAGGCTGAGGATGTGCCCTCAAAGTCAAAGCCAATGGTTATCAGCAGTGCAGCCCAGTGATGTCCCAGCAGGGACAACCCAAACCCTTCCATCAGGGATCAATCCCTGCATGGAGACCCTGCCTAGAGTGTCCTCTCCAAGCCCAGGACTGTGTGCAGAGCTCAGGCTGCACTGATTTCCATCACTGCTGAGCAAACCAAAGGCCTCTCTCAAGCTAAAACATCCACATCCCTCTCCAAGCCTTCCCAAGACAAGCCAAGAGAGTTTAGAGAATCACAGTCATGGAATATCCTGAGCTGGGAGGGAACCCCAAGGATCATCAGTCCAACCCTCAGCCCTGCACAGGCCCAGCCCCAAGAGTCCCCCCCTGTGCCCCAGAGGATCATCCCAACCCTCCT